GTCGAGTGCGACGGCGCCGAGATCTGATAATATTCACGTAAGGATTAGCTAAACGGTCAATTTAAATGAGGAGGAAAGTTCTCCTACGCACTGACTAGTTACTTGACGAGATTGCAGACGAGAAAAGCTATTGCATCATTGCAAATGAAAGTTGAACTTGAAGGAAAAAAAGTGGCAAATGCCTTACTATAAAAGTGGTAGCGCATTGAAGACGCGGTTTAGGAAATGCAACCTTGCACATTCTAGTAGAATGTAGACATGTAGACAATGTAGACACGTCTATCTACACTGGGCCATAGTTACCGTGCTAGTAAACACAATAAAATTTCGAATTTCGATATAATGCTCAAACAGTAGAGGCACTCGGAGATTTAATTAGGAGCTAAAGTTAAACAATTAAGTATTATTGTGCCTACTAAACATCCATATTCTACCGAAGTACCTAATTTTCCAAGTTTAAACGGCGTTTTTGTCATTAGTGAACCATAAATTTGCTTAAAAATTTACAAAAAATCAAGATCACATTTATATTCAACTTGCAATTCATTAAATAGTTTGCTAAATTAACAGGTGAATAGCAAGAGTGATACGAAGGTGTAGTGCAGCTGGAGACCTGAAGAAGTACCTGAACTAGTACGAGTTGGTAATCACCTGGTTGTGATTAATGGGGGCTACCTCACATGACTGACATTTCTCTATATTACCATCTATAAAGCTAACCTTGTACGTTGTTTTTATGAACTAATTGTACTATGTCAATAAATAATTATTAATTTTCTTTCAATTTGTTAACTTGCATTTTTTCATGGCGTTTATGCTACTGTACGCAATGACACGGTACATCCATTATAACTATTCGCCATCATAAATATTATTAGGTACTCCATTCGTATTCACTCATTTTTACATAAATATGGACATTATTGCAATTCTAAAAGATAATTTCTGGTTTCTTTTGAATTGTACTATTACGAATAACACAGTAAGTCAGTAAGAGATTATAGTTTTTTTGATTACTTACACGTATTCTGCAAATTTGAGTTTGGAAGTTGGCAACAATTAGTGGCGCTTCCGCGTGTAAGTACTTCAATAATCCCATTCCTTATTTAATGCAGTTACTTGAATGTTCCCAAAATGGCGTCACACCTTTGCCGGGGTACGCGCGCAGATAATCAGTTTAACACATTAACTTAGCCGTTATTCAGGCTGCGTAATGGAAAGTTGCAAGCCAAAACGTTAAAGTTGCGAGGTAAAAACTTAGTTTAATAATTTTGTAATATATTATATACCTATGGTCTTTACGAGGTGTCATATTGTATACAGCGAAACCGCTAAGCGATCAATATAGTATATAGGTTATGTTAGGTGAAGTTGGTTTTGTTACGAAATTTGCGTATTGCATTGTAATACGTGATAATACATTTTGCGTAGTGCATGGCAACACGTTTCAGTGGTATAATTTAATTTAGAGCTGTAATAAAGAGGTATCTTGTTAAATCTCGAGATGAGTATCAAAATGGTAGTGTAGTTGCGTCATCGGTTTTATGACAGTTTTATTGCACTTCGGAGCGAGACGTTTGAAGCTTTACGAATGGAAAGTTGTCAGTCGTTGTTGTACTGAGAGTTTTATGGGGAATAAAAGTATCATTGCGAACGACAGTGTGATTAAAGCGAGTTGAAAAGTGTAGCTGTACGTGCCATATCTGTTTATTTTATATGATACAAGTCAAGACGCATAGTCAAGTCCCAATCATACCAGTCACTTGTTTATTGTGACAAAAGAATTCCTCATAAATAAAAGTTATTATATTATTTAAGAATTTTTCAACGACAAAATATAATTTATTATGCAATTAATTTGAGATACTTCCGATATCATTCTTACTTTATCTTACGCATGTATAATTGTAATGATTTATTTAATGATCACAATTTTATTCCTTTTACAATGAGTTAGTGCCCCCAACGCTTTGCTGTGCCCTTACAGGGTGTCACATGTAATTTTCAAGCCACTGACTTAACATAATTGTGACAATACAATAATTAAATAAATTAATGAAAAGAGAGAATTAGATCTAAGTATCGGTGTACTAACCCTAATCGAATAAGAGTGCCAGAGGGTGCTAAAATTATAATACACCGACAGTAATCTCATAGAAAGCTTAACATTCCTTATATCATCTATAAATTTATTAGCACTTGATCCTATACCCTTGAGAAAGACAATAAACACAATTATTTTATAGCACCAATAAAATCGGTGAAACCACCATTACACCATTCATTTACAACACAAATACGACCGTTAATATATCACAAGGTTGCAATACCTTTAATCAATAACATAAAAAATAACAGCCGAAATTATCTCTGAGCGTACGTCGCATAATTAAATAATTGCAGTAAAAAATAAACAACTATTCCAGCTTGTAAAATTATATGCTCCCTGGTTGGTATGCTAAATATTTAGGACCACACCGACTGTATCATTAATATTAAACAACATACGAACTGTGAATTCTTGTCACGGAGTCAATTACTTGCTTTAATTGTATGCTATCCCTCATAATGAACAAGCAAGGAGAAATATTGCAAGGCTTGATTGGGAATTGAACGATTGAGTTTTTCATTTCATATGTTCGAAGACCAAACTCAAAATTGTCCGATGCCAATGTTGTCTACTATAAAACGATGTTCACATTATACCTATCTATTAGTATTACCAAAATACGTGTATTGAGTGACTGTCGACTAAACCATGTGAAATAACGAAGAAAGCAGATCTCACTTTAATCAACATTTAAATTGATTAGCGGTGGGATCGGAGAGAGATTGGTATTAAATCTTTAAAATCTTCATCATCGTTGTTGCTTTCAAATGTTGTAAGGTCCAATATTGTTGAAATTAGTCTCTTTCCTCGAGTTATACTCTGCAAATTGTTTAATATCAGCCACAAACAGCGTGGCGGCCAATGATGAAGGCGAGTGGCTTTCTCGCGCAGTGGCTTGCTCGAATCGATTATTGATCAGTTTAGACGTATGTTAACCGATACGCCGATAACAATAAATCAGCATCCATTGATTAACTAAAAAATTCAAATATTTTTATAGTCTTTTGTGATAGATTGTATCATTGTAGATTATTGAGTCGGTTCCACTTTCACTAGTGGTATTTCACCGAACTCTTTAAGTATAGTAGTTAAGACCCCAGTTTTACTTCGTACGGGTGATCAATTCAGCTATTTCTCCGCTAGCGAAGATCGGTTGTAGCTTACCAACGCAAACAATTTACAGGGCACATTGTTGGACCGTAGAATTTGTTTAATATTTACTGATAGTATAATATTTAGTTTTTACATGCTGGTAACTGGCACGTACGATACTCCTGCCGTATGAACCCCGTGACAAGGCCGTGCGAAGGACCCATGAAGGACCGAACGTACGGCGCGGGTGCTAACAGATGGATTGCATGCATCGACATCAGATTGTACGTCTTCACTTAAGGCATGCAGCCGTGACTGCTCGACTGCATGCAATTGAGACTTCGGTTGCAGATATTTCGAGAATCAAACAACAGAAAGTTCTTGATTCTTTATTACCGGCAAAAGGTAAAGATTACTTGAGGGTTTAATCAATGTAATGGTAAAACAAAACACGATTGATGAAACTATTGTAGACGTATTAAGTAATACCACAGTTCTTGAATTTTGTTGTAATGTTATCTTTGATTACATTTTTTATCACACACTCCTTCACTCGGGAAATGCGGACGTGAATTTGTCGACAAATTTAAATTAAGGATTTCGATATTTCGATAGTGATTTATTCATTTTCTTAGTTAAAAGTAAACTCAGCATTTAGTCGCCACTTTCATGTTATAAAGAGTGATTATTCAGGAGATTGCAAAACGTTCTATTTATTTTAAATTTCTTATCAAGGGTTGGATGGATGGAATTTGGATGCATTACTTTAAGAAAAGGCAAAAGCCAGTGCGTGAATATGAAGGAAATGTGATGTGAAATCTTGCAACTTGCAACATTTGTATATACAATCCATTTTTGCATTTCAGTTACTTTGTGTTTTAAGATACGAGTTCGAGAAAGTAAGGCGACGATTTGGAACCACGATTGTTCTGAACACAGTGACAAGGTGCAAGTATCGTCTGTGCCTTCATTTTGGCACAGACAAATACACTGAGCTGCCGCGTAAGGCGCGCAACGGTAAGTGCTAGCAGTCAGTTTCAACTGCACGCATTTATGTCTCTATCGACGTCGCACATGCAGTTCGCCTGATAGCAGCCTTACAACGCGTTGCGTCGCGCCGCCGAGCCGCCGTCGCCTGTGCCATGCCCATGACTGTGAGCTATAAATATTCCATACTCGGCAGTTAAACTTTAACTATACCGTCGTAATAACAACGAGTATGGTGGACAATTTCTCTTCGAGTTTATGGCGCACATTCATTGTATAACAATCAACATTAAAGGGCAAACACTACAATTATGTACCACAGAAACCAATAGGTATCTATCTGGCTATGCATTTATACTAAAAAAACGTAAAGTTGTTACTGTTTTCTTGAAAGTACATTATTTAAGTCTTTATCCTTCAATGGGTTTAATTTCAACTTAATAGATCTCGCAAACAATTTGAGACTATTTTAAGTAGTATTTAGAGAGTAAGTATTTTGTTCGTCGGTTAAGTGTTGGCAACATTGTCGCTGTCGATTTGTCGACCATCAAACGTCAATGACGACGGCGAAAGTGTTATTTATGTTGACAGTTTTAAGAAAATTTAGTGGTCTTAAACTAATCGCCGCAACTGTTTATAAACTTTCTTTACATTGCTAAGAATTAATAATAATATTTTCCAATATTATTTCGTAAATGAAATCTAAAATCAAACTAGGACTAAAAAAGTGTATCACCACGTGCGCAGTCGTAGAGAATGAATTCAGATTGATTAAAAGTGGAAATAACTAAGCAAACAATCGTAAACTCACGTTTCAGAGCAGACTCGAGCGCATCTCCGGACGTTAGGGCTGTAACAAAATTAAATTAAATTTAGTATTATTGATTTGCATTTTTGTTTAATAGCTCCACAAGTTTAAAAGAGCGCATTGTTATGTTTGCTTGTGAAATAATCTACTTAAATTTATGCAGTAGAATTCAAAATTAAACACGATCGTAATTTCAAGCAAAATAGAAATTGTAAGGATAAATCTTTCCACAATTCAATTATATTAGCATTGTAATTTCACAAATTGCAGAATATTGTTATGATGATATTGATCAATATGCCAACAAGCCATTGACCGGAAAGTCGGAAATTATCAGAGTAGAATTGGAGTCGTAACCCGCGGCTTTCTCCGGTCGTCGGTCGCCGCCATTCACGACATCGGATATTTGCCACCGCGATACCGATATTGTGCGATATGGTTTCCAATACTACCGTTTCCCTATCGAATTGAAATCGAAGTCTTAGTCCTATAAAAACTAGTTTGCATGTGCAACACGAGACGTGTCGAGGAACTGGAATGAAATTGTCAAACGCGTCATTCATGGCGTTGGAATTTTCACTTTATTTCGTACAAAGCTAGGAGGCAAAGGAAGTAGGAAAAAATTGGCTCTACAGTTGCTGTCGATTTTGATAATTTGTATACTCTTTGGAAACCATATCAATTAGTATTTGTTAACTTTGTTAATGAGTAGAAGTAGGAATATAAATTTTATTAATTCATGGGAAAGCTAATAAGTAACACATCGACTATGATTTGCATATTTATTTTACATTGAGGCCGATCGCTTTGAGTGTAGGCGACGAATGCCGTGGCACCCGCGCGGAGCAGCGGACACCTTCTCCGCCGTCGCGGTCATCACTTTGCTCATCCTCATCCTATAAAGCGAAAGTTACGCATTGACCTTCACCTTGTGAAAGACGAAAATTTCAAAGTAATTTGATGTTGGTAAGAATTCTTGCAATTAAGTCTGTCGAGTAAAGCTACTTAGAAAACATAATGTACGCAAGTTGAAAATTGAAAAGTACTTGTATATTGCAAATTACAACTACGACACTAGTAGTTGTAATTTGCAATATACAATAACGACGGTAAATGTAATGAAATTGATTTTCAAAAACCAGATCAAGAGAGCGCAATGGGATTAACATAATATCAACGGATCCTGCCACAACAGAAGACGACTGCGGGCAATTGACAGATGTTTGGTCGCAGATGATCAGACGCGAGGAGAAGTATATAGATATCACGGAGAGGAGAGCGAAGTGTCACAGCGCTTTGTCGACTTCGCAAATTAACGCGGCAATACTTACTGCTACCTCTAATTCAATAGTACCAAACAGTTTTTTATGAATAGCAACATAGTGGAAAACAGAAAGTGACTTATATAGTTCAGGTTCACAAGCGAAAGTTCATAAAATATTTCAATGGCCTAATTCCATCAATAAGAAAACAATTGAAGCAATAGATAAAAGATATATATAGAGAATAGATGAAAAAAAACTGAAACATTTCCACAAACCAAGAGAAATTTCTAAATGTTAAGAAGATACATCAAGAGACATCAAGCTATTCGGCAATGGCAGCACTGCATCGCAGAGAGCAATGTAAACACGCTGTGTAGGTGTCGATCGCCTTGACCGTGACGGTGGCGCAGCAGCGCAAGCGCGGTTCGTGCGCTCCACGAGAGTGAAACTGAACCGATAACAGCCGCGCAGAGTAGTAAACACAAATGTGGACTTGATGCGGATCGAGCGAGTCTAGTCCGTGGGTTTATGAGTATATATGAGATGACATGCTTGTGCATATGGAGGCAGATTCACATTTTGATAATTTGTTGTTAGAGCAGCTCGCTCAAAAAAGTCTTCAAGAGGTCGGTCACCACTAGCATGGTGAAAACGTTAATAATACCATAACTTTAGGACTTTTCCGTCTAACTACAAAAATGCTTAACGAGTTACGTCGTAGGCGTGAACTAAGTGAACCGGCATCACCGCATTTCTATCTTGATTACAGCTATGTTAAAAGCTAGAGTTCATTAAGAAAACCTCGAACCTGTTCTTATTTCCGTATTTTACTTTCCGTTTCGTTTTGTTGAAAATACACTTCAGAGTAGTAAATGTAACGGCTGCTAGGTTAGTCTCTTGACCCCGAGAGACTATGACTATAGACTTATGGATTAATAGTTGCTAAGCTAATCTAACTTTTGTGCTCCTATTAGTATCTACAGGCAACTTCTAATCTTCATGTCTTAATTTAATAGTTCACCTTTTTAATGGTACATTCATCTTCTTAAGATCATGTTCATTTAGTACATTGAAACCAAATAACAAGTATCGCGACCCCTTCTAGGACGAGAAAAAACCAGCTTCTTCTCTGGTGTATTCCATAAAGATTCTGTTGGAATTTTTCTTTAATAATAAGCACGAAAAATGTCTGTGATTGTCACATATTCTTTAAATGAAATTTCTGAATTAATATTCTACTTAAACAAACTCGTCGTCGAGATTGTTAAGATATGACAGTCTTATATATATACATATATGTTTAGGAGCCAAGGCTAAATTTGGGATGTAACTAAAATGAAGTGTAAGTAAATTCAGGGCTTCCCCATTGCACTCCATCGCTTACATAAACACGGCAAAGGTTGAAAAAGAGACAAATAATCAAAGCTGAAGAAACTACTAGTTACATAACAAGACGTGGCAACAAAAAGCATCAAAATAAGTTTTTAACGAAAACACGTGCAATTTCGAAAGGACTAGCTGTCAGTCCATCCATTTGTCACTCATAAATGAATTATTCATATAAACACTACATCGACCAGACGTACGAGATGTAAATCTCCGTCTCGTTTCTACCATCGCACCTCCCGCCAAAGCAGTAGAGTCCATCCCCACATCTTAGATGCCTGGCATTGTAAGACCACGCGGGCATCTCGTTCGTTTCTTCCTCGAACCTGCAAGGTGTGGAATGATCTTCCTCCTGAAGTGTTCCCTTTGCGCTATGACATGGGGTTCTTCAAAAAGCGCTGGCTGGCAACGCATAGGCAGCTCATCTGATGTTGCAATTGTCCATGAGCGGCTCCCATCAAGTGGCGTGTCGGCTCGTTTGCCTCCTTCTTTACGTAAATAAATAATAATAATATTATGCATGTTCACATATAGTCGCTCACCTGAGTACTGAAACGTGCGAACTTACATTGTTTACTAATCACCGTTAAGCCTACCTTAAAAGTATACTATTATAATATAATAAATTAAGGTTCCTTGTTTATTAGGACAACCATGACGACAACAAAGTTGAAACAGCGACACGGAGAGTGATCGAGTTCTCTCAATCTCCTCAATTAAAGGTCGCTACGGCACGCAAATGTGCAACAATGAATTTTGGGATGATAAAGAAGTATGATCGTCTGTATTAGTTCCTACATTACTAATCATCATCATCATCACAACTGACTGACTGACTTCATGGGTGTAGGACTCCCGTAGTTTGTGTCATCCACTGTGTACCAATCACGTTGCAGAACGTCTCATGTTAGTCTATCATTCCTTACTCCACCTGTCATTACCACAATCACAGTTGCATTTCAGCTCCGTTATCCGATCTCCTACAACCTGGACCTTAGTTCGTCTACAGATATTGATAGAACTAAATCGAAAATAAAATTTCCTATAAATTTAATTTCCTAAAAAAATTGCCCCTTGTATCTATTGTCATTCTATGAAATGGAGCAGGTAGTGGACGATCGAGTTGTCGTTTATATTGTTTAATTCGTTGCTCGTTGGGACTAATTAGATTGAGAAAGATTCAATATGGGGAAGGGAAACAATAAAGTAAAATGTTAGCTTTTTTTTACGTGCATTTTATTAGTATTATGTACATAGCTTTTTGTAAAACGTATGTTCATACAAGATCTACATTAAGTTAGTGTATGAAATACATATAATAGTTTTTTACACCTACTTTGTAAGCAAAATTAGTACCTAGCTCAAAAAAAACGCATTGACAATAACGAGAACGTGTCTAAAATGTGAAACAATATTGCGCGCCAAGGTTACTCTCAGGGCAATCATAGCCTACATAAATCAATTAAGAACTTCTTAATTATCTAACTCGTTAAACCACTTTGATTGTATTGTCTCAGAACTTTAGAACTCAGATGGTCACTTCACTTCACTTTTATTTTTATGGCTCTATCATTATGGGAAATGATGATTTTACCAATGTCACGGTTGAAAGAAAAAAAACGAAACAAAAAAAAAATTTCGCTAAGCTATGGTCAATAAACGTGAACCAGCGAGAAGTGGACGGAAGTCTTGTCAAACACCCGCGAATATACAGTACTGTTACAAAAGGTTCTTGGTAAAATAAAGCTCGCATAGATGAGAATTAGAAACATAAGACTTCTCAGATATTCCTTTGTGTCTTGTAATTTAAATTATTTTCTTTGTGTTGTTTACTTAGTAAACGTTATATTATTGTGATTAGGTTTGGGCAAGTCTCAGTCTGTGAGTGCCGCAACGGAAAGTGCAAATCGTAGTGAAAGCGAAAGTTTGATAACTTTGATTTTGTTGCTGGCGTTTATTTGATATATCAATTTAAGAAAATTCGCCTAACTTTGTTTTCTAGATAATAAGAACCCACAAAAAATTGTTATACGAACTAACGTAGTTTGCTTTGATAGTTTTCGTAGATGCCCCCTAGGAGGGTATTATCATTGCCTTACGACTTGACAAATCCACGATTTAATATCGATACGTTTACCAGTCAACGGTCTCGTAACGAGAAGTCTATAATAGTAACGAACAAATAGACTATGATCTAGCCGCCAACACCGGCGTGACAACGAATCGGCGAGCGGCTGGCGATGGCTGCCGTGTTCGTGTTACGCGGCGATTAGTTCACGAGATTACTTTAATTGGTCATTACGTGCGATTAACAGGTGCCGCGCTAGGGTTGCCTAATCGCAATTTAGTAAGACAAATCTCAAAGGACGAAAAAGATCTACTAAAATTAAA